CCTTATAAGGACAAACACCAGTGATAGATTGTTTAGCCAGAGTATTCATGATTAGTAAACTGGAATGGATGACAACTGCCTGTTGTCTTCAGGTTAAAGACATAAAACTTTCCAAACATCATCCTCTACTCTTGTGTTATTTACAACAGGCAGTTGGCATCCATCCCAGTTTATTCATCAACAGTATTGTTATATCACTGTTTTTTGTTTTTTTTTGGTGGGTTCTTTTAGGTTATAAGTTAAAATCATTCAACATCCAGTCTGCTTAATGAGTTGAAATCTGTTTATTTCATCCTTTAGACAATTCTCCAATCTTAGGCCATTTTTAAACTGTCTAAATGTGTTAAGTTTTTTTATGAATAACAACAATAACAGAAGTGACTCTTCTATTTTAACTTACTTTCTTTGTATCTCAACTCACTTGGTGTTTCTTGAAACAGTTTTATAATGTATGACAAATATGAACTTAATATTACATTACATCATCTGAAACCTGCAGCTTTCTCTAGCTAACAAATTTATTACAACAATATTCATTCTAGGATGATTTCTTTCATCATTAGCACGCATGTGTTGACTCCTGTAGTTCACAGTACTTGTTTATAGAGTTGTCAGTGTGTGGGTGTTATCTGACTTAAAATTTAGGTAATAATAAAGAAGCTGGCTGTTGACATTTAACAACAAATATTTTTGTTTTAAAAACATGCATCATACATTTACATTATATGGAACAAGTAGTTTGAATACGGAAGGATAACATTAACATGATATTTCTTACAATAAAATGGTGTAAAAATTGTTTGGGTGTGTTGAATATTCATGTAGAAGATGTTTCTAGAAAATTTGACTGAAATGTTTACATTTGAGTATCTGTGTTTTAAGGCTTGCATGAAAAGATAGATCTTTGTCAAGCTTCACCTCGTTAATCTATTTCCTAAAATTGATTAAAAGTCACTAGACAGTTAGCTACTCTATGGTTTGATCATTCTGTTGTTAATATATGATTCTGAAACTCATCTCACTATTAAAGTTATTTTAATTCTTTAGTTATTGACTGTGTATGATAGAACCAAAAGGAAGTAGTATTTCTATATAACCTCAAATGCAAGTAAATCTGTATTGCAGGAGTACATGATTTATTTCTTCTTTTGTACAAGTATGATTCAGGGTAAAGTTTAAATTACTTTAATATAGATCTTTTACCTGCATGTTGAAGAGTTAAGTTCTAGTACTGTACAACTGCTAATATTTTTACAAGACATTTAGGAATAACTTCTTTATAATGTTAATACTGTAGTGTACTACTGAACCTTGTATGTTATTTCAGCCACTGTCCTCAAGCAAAGCACACTACTGTAGCTGATACTCCAGAGGCGAGGAGACTTGCCGAGAACACAAAGATTCAGAGTAACGTAAGTATAAGTCTGTTTTTGACACCTGACAACAAGGAATTGATTGTTTTTAGTCACATTGAGGAAAATAATATTAAGGAGTGTGTACAAGAAAGTAATATTTCAAAGGTTAAATAATGACAAAAGCATTTGAAGACGTAATTGTGTCAGAGCTGAACAGTGCTGTACCATTTTGTTTGTGCACAGGTAAAGTATCATGAAGAATTCGAGAAACAGAAAGGAAAGTTTACACAAGTAGCTGACGACCCTGAAACACTGCGAATACGCAGCACTCACAAAATTATCAGCAACGTAGCTTATCATGGAGAACTGATGAAAAAGGAAGAAATGGAACAGAAGCGTCAACTGTTGCCAGAAAAGAATGGAGCTCCACAAGGCAGTGCAGGTGATTTAAAAACTTGTATATTTTATACAACAGCTTATATTTTCTGTGTTTACAGTTACTTGTGTCCTTTTAATACACTTTTAAAATTAAAAAAACAACAATGCAGTTAAAAATATTTATTATAGACTCATCTGTAGTTAATTGAAAGCCAAGGTGCCAATATTTATATCTGTTACTTTTAGATGCCAATAGTTATATCTGTTACTTGTAGATGCCAATATTTATATCAATTACTTGTAGATGCCAATATTTACAATAATTGATATAAATATTGGCATCTACAATAATTGATATAAATATTGGCATCTACAATAGTTGATATAAATATTGGCATCTACAATAATTGATATCATCTACAATAATTGATATAACTATTGACATCTACAATAATTGATATAAATATTGGCATCTATTGACATCTACAATAATTGATATAACTATTGAAGTTATATCAATTATTGTAGATGTCAATAGTTATATCAATTATTGTAGATGTCAATATTTATATCAATTATTGTAGATGTCAATATTTATATCAATTATTGTAGATGTCAATATTTATATCAATTATTGTAGATGTCAATAGTTATATCTGTTACTTGTAGATGCCAATATTTATATCTATTACTTGTAGATGCCAATATTTATATCTGTTACTTGTAGATGCCAATAGTTATATCTGTTACTTGTAGATGCCAATAGTTATATCTGTTACTTGTAGATGCCAATAGTTATATCTGTTACTTGTAGATGCCAATAGTTATATCTGTTACTTGTAGATGCCAATAGTT